CAAGAATTACGAAACTTGACAAATGTAAACGGAGAGCCACGAGAAGCTGAGTTGATGACAAACAAAAACAGAAAAATTCGTCGACCTGTTAACCTCATTATCCCCTTGGAAATCAGCGGAGATCATTACCAAAAAGAAAATGAGGAAGTAGCAGAAGATCCACCTACAAACCAAGATTGCACCACTCACTCCTATAACTTACGCCCACGAAAACAGACAAATTACGTGGATTGCGCGATTACAGAAAATATTCAGAAAAAACCATCGAAAATCAATGCGAAGTGGTTCCTATTTCATATAATGTTATTTCACTGCGTCATCGGTACCTGGACCTCAAAAATGGACGATATCATGTTGTCCTGCACGAAAAAAGGCATTGTGATAAAAACGTCAAAAGCCAGAACAATTGAAGTTTGCGCTGATAACCAATGTAAGCTCCAAAACTTACAACCAGGGAAAACTTTGATGGTGTTCTCTCCAAGTGTCACTTTGCATGATCATCTTGTTACCTTGAAATGGAATGAAAATGGTCGAACAAGAACAGCAGAAAAACTGTGCGACAAACTAAGTTTTTGCGATAACATAGACTGCTGGTTCTGCGCAACAGTGATACTAAACCCAGAATGCTGGCCGATAGGAGCCATCATTTCTCTCGCACTGATACTCTATGGGATAATTGCAGCGGTTTATCTCGCACTGTATGTACCAGTGACCATCGGAAAACCCTTAAGAGTCTTGTTTTGGCTACTACTGCTAACAATTAAACTATTGCTAAACAAGGGATGGCAATGTGTCTGCGCTATACGGCGTCGCTGTCAAAAAGCACGTCATCGATCAAGATCAACGCGCTTAACCGAAGCTTTGGCAATAGTAGTATCACTGATGTCTGTGATTGGCACTACCTCAGCGTGTCAACAATTAGACGTTCTGGAACACCACATGACTATTTGCGAAAAAACTGACGAGAAAGAATCATGCTCTATTGTAATCAAAGAAGTTCTCAAACTAAGCACTTTTAAACAAGAAGCGTGCTTACGCTTAACTAGAAACGGCTCCCACATAGAAAACATCAAAGTACGTTGGAGAGGGCTCAGACTGTACTGCGACAAAGAAACATTGTTTTTTACTAGAGCAACTAACCTACAAGTCGTAGACAGCAAGCGTTGCCCCCACATGGGATCATGTACAGGTCAAAAATGCGCTGCAATCAATGCAAACAGCATCATTCCGGAGCTACAGCAGGGGAATCAATTTCCGGGTCGAACAGGCTGCCTAGAATCCTGTGGAGGACTAGGTTGTGATTGTTTCTACCCAAGCTCCGGTTGTCTTTTTTATCGAATCTATGCCACACCCAAAAGCTCAGACGTTTATGAGATTTTTAGATGCGAACGATGGAGAGAAGATATCAAACTAGACATCTATAGAGAAACTTTGCACTTGGGAAAACAACGCTTCGTAATCTCAACTACTCCAAACATCCCATTCGATCTCCCAAATTTGCGCATGACACTAACCTCCATCTCGCTTCCTCCCACCCCATTACTGCATGATCACTTTATCACTAATGGCCAGGATACAGCCTTGTGGAGAACTACGTTTACACCAGACCTCATGTGTAATTCCAGCAGAGCAGCGAGTTTGTTTGAATGCACCTTGTCAGACAACTGCATTTGCACACCGGCAGAAAACAAAATAGTATGCCAATGCCCTCAAAAAGACATTGAACAAGAATTCCATCAAATCCAACGTAAATTACCTATAAACACAGCCTCATGGCAAATAAGTAGCTTCAAAGGTATCGTAATGGCGAAAATACCGCACATGGTTTCCGCTGAGGTGATACTCAGAATAAAGGGAAAAATCGATACCGCCATCCTACAAGTCCGAGATGACGTTTGCGCTATACAAAATGCCGAATTAACGGGATGTTACAATTGCGCTTTAGGAGCAGTCGCAAAAATCGAGTGCACCTCTCAAAAACAGACCCTAGGCGAAGTTATCTGCGAAAATACAGCCTTTGTGGTACCATGTTCTCCGGAGATACCGGCCTCCACTTTACACTTCCATTTGAGCACAGCGCGACAGCTGATCAACTGTTCAGTTTCATGCGGAAAAACAAAGAACTATTTCATCCTATCAGGCATTCTGAAATATGTAGGAGACATTCAGTTACATCTCCTAAGAGCTCTAGAAAGCAACAGCACAACATACGGAGAAATAGAATGGCCAGATTTTTCGCATCTTTTGGAAGTATATCTGACATGGTACAAAACCGTGGTCATCGCACTCATGGCTGTCGCGTTAGCACTCGTCATCTCTTACGCGCTCTTTCAAACTGTAGGCTTATGCCTCGTGCGCCTACTTTTGCGGGCACTCATCACAATCCTATGCCTACCATTTCGCATCACAGCTATTTTGATACGCATTACACTACGTCGCTGCCGGAAAAACATGCGCATGCAAATATTACCCATGCACGCGAAAGAATTGTGAAAAAGAATGATGAGAAACGTAGAAATTTTCTTTGTAGAAACTTATAGATATTTTGTTTTTTTTTAGAAATGAACACCAAAACCGAAAAGGACAATTTCAAAAGAGGAATGGACCAAGTATCACAAGCCTTGAGACAACTGATTAGTGCAATGGAGGCCCTTGAAGAAACATGCGAGAGATTCGGTGGCCCGGGCGAGACCGTGCAACACGGCGAAACAAACGAGGTGGAGATCGAAGAACAACCTCGGGAGGAAAATGAGCCAGACATCACCGAACGCGAGCCAACCACTTCGGAAAGCATGCAGGCGTATCATGACTTGGTGGAAGAACAACAACAACAACAACTAGCCGACCCGAATGACGAGCAATCCGCGCAACAGCGCGCTCCGAAAAGAGTACGCATTTGCTCGGACGACGGTCGCGGGAAGAAATACCCACGCACATCATCAGAGAGCACCTGGAACTCCGACATGAGCAGAGAGGAAATGCAACTCCGTTTAGACGCTTTGGAGTCACAGAAAAAAGAAGAAACAATCGAGCGTGAGATGAACGCCAACGTAGGAGAAAGGAATGACGACCAAGACCTACTGGTTTTCGATGAACCCGACAGTGATGGAGAAAATTCGCTTCAAATCGTGGATGAGATCGCCGAGGATGAAGAAAGAGCCGAAGATGAAAGAAGAAGGCAAGAACTACAAGTAGAAGTCCTGCAAGCACAACAGGCGATTGGTGACCTCGAAATGCTAATAGAAGAGCTGGAACAAAAGCCCGTGTGTGCGCCTAGGAGAATACAGCAGGGAGGAATTCGACGCGACAGCGACAGATTCATAAGGTGTGCCTTTTGTCAAGCCACCATGAGACATTTTTCGGATTCTTGCCCGGAAGTACAAAACAGTGCGACACGAATCAGCATGCTCGATGCCCAAAGGAGGTGTCACATCTGCTTCCAGTTACTGAAGATCGTCTGCCCGGGAGGAAGAAACTGTTACAAATGGACCACGCCGTGCTTCCATTGCAAGCGATTCGGACATAACTCCGCTGTCTGTGAACTCCCAGACAAAAGTGTGACAATACGCGCGAGACTCCAACGCGCTCGGGAAGCACTCCGTTCAGCCGAAATCAAACTGGCACACCTCCAAGAAGAACTTAAAAGGCTATCAGAACACCATCAAGGTGGGGCGGAGTATCGCTGCTTGGAAGCGCGATCTCTTGTTTATTACAGTAACCAATGTCTCTTCTTATCTTGTAAGCTGATCTTTGCAGAGAGCGCCGACGACGGCTATCAACAACAAATATAAAATGCAACCGTCACACCGCGGCAAAGATTCTCCGTCGTCACGATGGGACTCGTCTTTTTCCCATCATTCTCACCTTTGCTCATGTTCATCCACGTTTTCGCCCGCACGCAATCTTGAACGCGTAATTTTGATCATTTGACTCGCTTTGTAGTATTTAGCGCCTAGGTAAAATCGCATGAACACCAGATTGTGATTGATTGATTGATCGGACCATTGTATAATGTGTTATTTGCAAAAGTAAAGAATCACGGTTTAATTACCCAAGTTTGAGGTCTCGTCCTCGTGGCAATAAATCGGTTTTGGTGTATGGTGTTGGTTGGTGTGGCAAGAAAACTGAACCACTAAACTGGCAGAGTTTTGAATACATTGGTTTTCTGTGTAAAATGGCCATAAGACGACAGTATCGACTTTCGCACAATAACGGACGATAATATCGACTTTCGGCCAATACATCATCCTCATATGTCCTTAATTACTGGTCCGGTCCCGAAAGAATGTATCCGAACTTACTGCTGTTTTTCCAGGATACACATTTGTAGAACAAATAAAAATGTAAATAGCATAGAACTGACACTCTACCAGTGGCGTACCCAGGATTTCGGCTTCAGAAGGGGACAAAAATTTTTTTCCGAAAGGTGCGTGGCATTAGCCACGCGCTCCGAATAATTTTTTGGTATGCTCCCTAGAATTTTCGCGGGCTCAGAACCTCGAAATTTCAGAAATAGGGGGCGTGTCTGACGCCACGCCCCGAAAGTTTTTAACATAAGGCTAAAATGAACTTTTAAAAATTTTTAAAATTTATTTTAATTACCTACAAGTACAGACAAGTTATTTGCGCAATTTTATAACTCACGTACGCAACTTTCAAAAATTTCGCGACCTCCCCTCCCTCCGCCCCCCTCTCTCCCTTGTACGCCATTGCACATATATAATGTTCATAATTTGGTGAAAGACTGACACTTACCTACTTTTAGGAAAGTCAGTTTTGGCGAAAGAAGTTTTTCAGAAAAGCATATAATACCAACCTTCGGTTTTCTCTTCGAAAAGTTTCAAGTCTGTATTTCAAAGAATCATCAATTTGAGGACTCCGTCAATGAAGTAGTGTACGCATGTTTTGTAATACTTTGATACCTTGATGCACGTTTTGTAATACTCTGTAATACACACACTTGTTGAACTGACATCTTTGCCAATAAAACAGATGAAGAGTTAACGCTGCGGTGGGCAATGTGGATTAATATCTAGGTGAGGACGACGAAGAGGATCAAGATCACAATACTTTTTCACTTCGTCATCCACTTCTTCACGGTCCTCAAGCATATCGCCTTCCTCGCTTGCCTTTACTTGAGATTCCTTCTCATTCTGTTCATCCGTGGGAATAATATCTGAAAGATATGAGAGCATAATTCAGGTTGAACCAACTGTTTTCTCGGACATTTTCAACATTTTTAGCCTACGTTTGTTCGAGTCCGATCTTCGAACCACCAGGCATGAGTTGAAATATCTGGGTTGTATAGGGCTTATCAAATTGAGTGTCGTTTGCGCCGGCATCTCCATCTTTGCGCTGGATTCCGCGTCTCTTCCGCCGGGCTGCTCTCTGAGCGCTTTCCCAGGGCGAGCGTGGGAAAGGCGGAGCATCAATCGATTGGAAGTGATTGGGGAGCAAGTACCGCAGAAGAGACGCAAAGCCCAGCGCGAAGATGGAGATGCTGGTGCAAACGACACTCAATTTGATAAGCCCTATATGTGTGAAAGCCGACAGAAACAGTCTAACCAATAGACGGGGTTGAGCGTGTGGATAGGCGTGCCTACCTAAGAGGTCGTTTCAGAGGTGCAACTGAGAGGGGGAGGGAGGAGGGAGGAATCATAATCAGGAATAAAGTTCGTTCAAAAGATCAAGAAAATGCTAAGATCGAGTAAGGTAAAGAGGAAAAGAGCTAGACTCAAATGTCACAACTTCACAACTAAAGAAAAGACGATCACGAAGAGCATACTGATTAATTCTACCACTGATATCCCAATCGAATTTCAATCTTCATCTCCTGCACTCATACCGTAAGATCACCAAAAATGCTTGTTTGGTAATTTGGGTATGATTTCCATAACCAGCATGCCGTATTACCTCTACAAGCTCTATAAACAATTATCTATCACGTTTCCTAGTGTATTCTAACGTAAAAGTGTGATTTTCAAACATACTCAACTTGGTTTCAAAAACGGAAGAAGTCCGCTTATTTGAACTCATAACAAAGTAATGTTTTCTATCAGTCTGTGCTACAAATTAGACTTCGCTTTCAAATAGTGTAAATAGTGCTGCCAAAATTTCAACCACCATATCCAACCTTGAGTGCTTTATCTTCACGGATCACCACAAAGCCAAAATAAGGCGAAGTAAGTTCACCTGCTGTAAAATCTTCGAAGTTTGTTTTACCGAATCACAGAATTGAATAAAAAAGCTCCTTTTGAGATAAAGTTAATAGAGTCAGGTGCTCCCTTTGAGGTCAGACTGCCTAAAAGCTTTTGGCCTTGTGCCTCATCTCCTTAACTTGCCTTTAAATACCAGATATCGCTCAATTCCGGGCATTAAATTGAACTCATAGTCACCTCTGCTACAATGAAAATTTGAAGAAAATATGGAGGGAATTTTAGACTTCAAACACCCATTCAGAAATAAAAATCTGCCGTTCGATTGCGTGTGCTTATAAAACATGTGCAATTAGAGAAAATTGGGCACACAAACTTCTGAAATTTCAAACTTCGCTATCGTCGAATGCCGCGCGTGCTGTGCAAAAACACCACCACAGAACGAGAATTTTGCGAAATTCCGGTAATATCGCCAAATTCCCGGAATATCACAAATTACGCAGCGCCATAACTTCCTTCGGAATGAATATATTTTGAATCCAAAAGCAGCATTGCGTTCAGCTCATCAAGGCAAATCTTGTTATTACATCATGTCTTCTATGTCTCGTTTTCAGTTTTCAGAAATTCTTCTGCGAAGGTCCTTTTGCAAAAACGTAACGCAGCGCCTATCCAGCATAAAAGATAACAGTAAGTACCATTCGATAGTGCTGCGTAGATTATAGTGCGCTAGAAAGTAGCAGCAAACTTTTCTCCAAAAGAGGACGGAGGCGTTGATGAATTCTGGAAAGATGTCTTTCTAAATTTTCCTCACCGTGACTCTAAAATTTGAGACTCTCTTGCTAAACAGATGTGATTTTCGGAACCAGCAGATCGAATAACTCTTACGAGCAAGTTTTCAGAGATATATTTGGGTGATTTTATTTTTTCTTGTTTTACGCTCTAAAGCTCGCCGATAGATTTCGGTCTAAATGTTGATGATCTTGAATTGTAAAGAAACTCCGCTCATAGAAATTTTCGGTCACGCTCTTTACGAAAATCGTGGTCTTTGAGGATTACAGGGTCTTGGAGAGATACGGTGAGGTGACTGTAACGAAGTCACGAAAGTGCGTAATTTTGCCCGCACTTCTCGCTTATCTGTCAGAAAACATGCTCGCTTGCTTCCGTAGGTCAAATTTTCTGGAAACTTTGCCATCGAATGGTGCATGTCGTAGACTCCAATCTATGAAAATTCCCGATTTATGAGCCTACGAAAACACGTCCTCATGAACTTCGCCCAAAATTTAAAGATCGCATAATTCGTCAAAATTCCACAGTGAGTGGTTGTATAACACGTTGATAAAATGTTTCCAAATCGCTTAATGGGTCTTCTTGTGTTGGATTTGATAGTTAGACAGATCTGAACTCTAGTTACGAAACTGCTTTGATGTTCAATCAAGCAGCTGAAGCACACCCAACCACTATATTCAATACAGTGGGATTCTTTGGGCGAAGTGAACATGATATCCGCAATGCAAGTGTCATACAAGCACTAGTACGAGTGTTATACAAGCATCAGTTAAAAATTGGTATGGCATATATCATGTCAAATAACTATAGTTGTGATTTTGATGTAAAATGTGTAATAACTTTCTTTATCGTAATTGTAATATATTTATCTAGTATGAAATTATTTTTATGTAAGCATTTGAAATATTTGAGTAAATCATGTTTTCATCGTATTTTCCTATGGATACAATGAAAATATGATTTGTACAAAATACACTGTAGTACAAAATACAAATACAAAAATGCAAAATATAAATACAAACACCGTAGGTGTTTTTTTTTGACAAAAACGTCAAAACATGTGCAAGTACGCGCAATTCTTGAAATTTCTGTGTAAAAAAATTGCGTTTTTGATGTGATTGGATACACCAAAAGTAATGTGCATAAATCTTCTTACTTGAAAATAGAAACTATCAGTTTTTATACATTTTATTTATAATTCTGTTATTAACGATTGTTATATGTAAGTCCAAATAATTACAATGTAAATTATCTATATGCGTAGTTTCCAAATTTAGCTTGTTGTCATATAAGTTCTTGATTATATTATATTTCCTTCTCCTCACATGGTTTTTCAACTATGCATAAGTTTGATTTACATCCTTTATTCTACAAACAGTAATCAAAACTCCTCAAACTTGAATGAGGCGGCAATCATGCTCTGGACGCGTTGTGGAGCGCGCCGGACACAGCATGATGCCAACACAAAGAATAAAAACGGCATCGGTTTTTCTTAATTGGTGCTTGACGTTCTCTTTGGTATTCTGCGCAATTATTTTGTTATTCATGTTTGATGCAATTGTGAGCGTCTCAGAGAGGACGTCGTAATTTTTTTTGCGCAGCCAACGGGGATTTCATTTTCAAATATCGTAGTCACCTCTTGCTGAGTCCTGATTACTTAGTTGCAGCCTTGTATGCGCCTTAATGTTAAAGATGATTTAAAGGTTCAACCCCGAATATTTTACGTTACAACCTGGTTGAAATCTTACAGGTCACTTGACGAATGTCAAAACTGATGCCAATTTTCCTTCTCAAGGGTTTCTACCTTTGACCCTTTCGCGTTATCCGCATGCGTAGAGTACAATTGTTGTCATGACTTGCTGCAAATGTCCACTGAAGGAAGGGGCTGCCCCTTCCTTCAGTGGACATTTGCAGCAAGTCATGTATCGCAAACACATTACATTTTGTACTGTTTTCAGCGCAGGCTGGTTCTTCGGCTATATAAAGACCCTTCATCGTGATTACAAAAAAGAAAATAAAAGATAGAACGGACAAATGTCTTCGTCCGAACAACGACAGGTTTCTCAGAAGAAGCAAATGCTCATCGTTAGGCTGCGTTCATACTGATTCCCATGTTCTGGAACTGTTCCCGCACAGTTCTCGCACTGTGCTGAAACTGTGCGGGAACTGTGCGGGAACTGTGCGGGAACAGTTTCAGAACATGGGAATCAGTATGAACGCAGCCTTAGCAATCTATGTAGCTGCGCGATCGCTTACACATAAAACATCCAACATTGCTCACCTTTCTTTTCCTCTTGAACTTGACTGCGCTTAGGTTGACTCTCAGGCTCTCGCAATTTATCCTGCTCAGACTGCACTTCTTCTCGCTGTTCAACACTTTCCAAAACCGGTTGTTTTTCGACCTTTCCTAGAAATTATATTACAGAAGCGTAAGCTTTGTTGCACATTTTTTGCAACTAATTTCTGTCGTGATGGTGCATTTGTGCACTATTCTTTCTACGAAGAAGTCAGTTATGCGAAACTTAGCACTAATTTACCACCACTCATTCCTATCTTCTCTTATGAGTGCAATTTGAAAAGGATAAGCTGAGGTCAGGCATCCGTTCTTTGGAATGGACCAGCTTTACCTCCCCTTCAATTGTCCAAACCACCTTCACTTTTTGCTATCACCCCTGAAATCTTGAAGAATGGCGTTTGAGAAGTTTCTAAATTTGAAGTCTAAACGCCAATTTTCTGCTACAACACATGACCCTGCGCTACAGTACGACAGAATTTGATGATGAATTTTACAAATAATTCGAAAACATCTTATGAGAACCATGACTTTGCAGAAGTGAAACATCTGAACAATCCTATTATAGCAAAGACAGGTTTCAAGCCCATTGTTGGATGGAAAGGATCACTGATTACCAATATTTGGTGACGGGAAAATGAGAGGCCGATTTGACCTCTCAGCAGGGCATAAAAGGGGAAGAGAGAAGGGAGCCCGCGAGCAGAAGAGATTCGCAGGAATCGAAAACTGGTCAGGACACTGAAGGTTGCGTCAGCTGAAAATATGTAAAAAACGCATTTGTGATGCAAACTCATTAGTATCACAGTAAGCTGGCCTTTCATCAGCGGGATAATAGCTTCACACTTTGACCAATTCAAACCTGTGATATGAAAAAAGAAGAAAGAAATTGTATTTAAAAATAGTCTCAAGGGATGATCACTCTTAGTGTTATTATAGCAAAACATTTACATACCTAAATGAACGAAATGGCACATTATAGCCTGATAGTCAGATGTAACAGCAAAATCAGTGAGACATCCCCATGAACTCGTGACTTTCTTCCCCTAAAAATCAAATGTAAAAGGTGTTATTATCAAACAACTGCGTTTATCCGTATAAGGTGTGTTTTCACATCTAATACTTCTGCGTGCTAAAACGTGGCCTCCGCACTCTCTGTTCTTGACAATAATGTAACTCGAGTATTATGTAACAGTATTGTAAATCGTGATCTATCAAAGTTGAAGACTTGTTGGCGCTTATCGCAAAAGGTACTAAAACCAATAAATTTTCCTCACTTTGTCGACTCAAATAATCACGAGATTTAGAAAGTTCCCGCATTCTACAAAAAATGCGCTTGGAGCTAAAAGCAAATAATAAAAAATTGGGCTTCTCTTTCACTTCTGCAAATATGCGCCAGAAAAAGCAAGTAAATGCGTGCAAATCTTCACAATAAAGTGGCATGCTTCTGATAGGGTAGAGAAAATGCTTTAAAACTGATGTCTGTTCAAACCTGCTCCTTTAGGTGGTTCATTCAAAGAAAAATATAAAAGAAGGATAAACTAAGGTGATAAGCGCAAAAAACATGCGAGTGCGCTAGTACTTCATTAAACTTTGTAATGCTTTTTTATTTATACACCAATGCGTTTTGCAGCTTTCGAAAAGTTAGTCTTTTTCACCTTTTTATATGTGCACTTATTAGCACGGAGACCGGACATTAGACAGATTTTTGATCGCGGAATCCGTCCATGATAAAAAAAATCCAGAACATGTGAAGTGAGAGAAAGATGTGCTCCAGACGATCTCAGATTGCTGGTGATCGCGTGGAGGCAGACTAATTTTGGAAAAGGCAATACTTCACATGAGTTTCCAAATCTTTTTGTATTAGGGTGAACGGTGAAATATGGGTCACTTATAAAATAACTGGAGTTTTCTCAAGAAAGAGAAGTGATTAAATTTTCGAATTTTAATAGATGCTAGAAGATGTTATTCTCTTCCAGAAAATACCTATATAATGTGGTCGTTACATAATTTATAGTTTCCATACTATCTGAAATGCAAAGTTAGTCACTTTAGCAAATTATAAACTTTGGGCAGTACCTGCGCAGTGAAACATGTGAGACCACCCGAAGTACCACTGTTGGAGTGGGTGGTGAGACACTACTAAACCCACGACGGCTTGGTGGCCTCAACTTTTAAAATCAGGAGATATGACCATTAGCAGCGTTGAGAGCAAAGATACATGCTATTCAATTCTTTGCAGGTAAACAGATGTTTTGTAGGTACCATCTGAAAGAGCATTTTACGCTCTATCCATTTTGTGCAGCTTAGCTCACATTTCATCTATCTTCGGAAAATAGAGGGCGAAAAATGTTTTTTTTGGTTTTTTATTGCGCCAAAAATACATTTTTCAGGTTTTTCGCTTTTTTGTTAAATTCAAAAGAAATCTCATGTGTTTAACAAATGGTTTCAAAGAGCATAAAAGGCTCTTTTGAATGGTATGTCATTTGCTTTACGACTTATGTTATAGCAGCGCAAGATTGAGAAATGTTCAAAAAACCCTGCCTGAGTTCTTCACGGCGCAACGCGTACGCGGTTATAAGGAAGGAGCGGCAACGCGCTGTCACAATAATAGGCGAAGATCGGTTCTTGTGAGCGACGTTCGAGTTGCAGCCTGCTTATTGTCGCTGAGAACAAAAAATCTCAAAATCTAATAAAAAACAAGCTGCCCCATTTTTTACCGTTCAGCCTAATACAATCCTTTTGCAGATAATTTTCTATGTATGCACTTCAATTTTGGTGTCATATGATTCTTGTGCGCTGCGAACAAGTAATTTGTTTATTTTAGCCTTGCTTTCAAATCGCGCGCACTTTTCGCCATACACGATAGAGCATGTCAATCGTGTGATAGCCTGCTCTTAAAGCTTGTGCTCGACTGAAGGTCAATTTTTCTTCGGGTTTCGCCCCGAACCTCGCAAACACGATATCTCCTTTGCTTTTTGCTCCAAAAATGAAGTCCAGCCTGCTTCCAGACGATGTACCGGGCCCTGTTCCAAGCCCTTACAGCTTCACTTCAAAAGGCAGCAAAGTAGTTTTACAAAATACTATTAGTGTAGCTCAGCTTTCCAGAAAGAAAAAAAGAAAAGACTAGCTGGTAAACAAGTTTGCACAATGCTTCTTGTCATTAGGGCCCAGGCAAAATCAGGAGCTCTACTAAACAGATAAAATAGAAAAAGGGGAGAGAACTGAGTGCGGCGATTTTGGCTGTTATCGCGGTATTTTATAACTAATGTAGAATTGTTGGATAACGATTTCTTTAGCCGGGTAGCGGAACTTACATAGCCCGGCTTGCCGCCTCGCAGTTAGCGGAGTTCATGAGAGGTCATGAACTGGCAGCAACGCTAATTTGCACTCAATTTGCACCGAAGACAAGCTGACTCTGCACACGGTAACTCCGCCACCATCCTATGGTTTATGAAACCGGGATTTCGTCGAATTTTGAAATCAAAATTCAGTAGTAAATTCAGTCCAATTTAGGGTGAAATTTTGTGTCTGGGGGTATTCCGTTATGCTGTTTCCAAATATGATAATTGTTTCGCTTCAAATTTCAAATTTGTTTTCATAATGTTCCCGAGAAAATTTCTAAAATTACAATATAAGGGTTTAAGGAAATACATAGATATATAGATACCAGTGGCTGTTCGAGAAATTTTTTTCGGGGGGGGGGGGGGCGAAAAAAAATTTTTTTCTAAAGAAGGTGCGTGGCGTTAGCCACGCACTCCGAAAAAATTTTTGGGGTGCTTCTCAAAATTTTTGCGGGTCCGCGACCCCTAAAGTCTGGCCCCCCGAAAAAATTTTTTTCATAAGGCTAAAATGAATTTTTAAAAAATTTTAAAAATTATTTTAATTATTTTCAAGTGCAAATAAGTCGTTTGCACATTTTTACAACCCATATAGGTAAGTTTCAAAAATTTCGCGACCCATTCTCGGGGGGGGGGCGCGCCCTCCCCCCCCCCCCCGGCCCCCCCCCCCACCCTCGGTCCGCCACTGATAACATATAAACCGTATTTGTCTCTGCGTACAATAATCGTTTAACGGAAATGGGTCTCATGACCTCTGTTATCGACAGATTCTCAGGGCATGCCTATGGCTTTCTCGCCAAAATCCTCCAAGCAAAAAAGTCTATCAGTTATCAACACTATATGTATTTGGCTTGACCAATCTTTGTATATTTGCTCAAAAAGGATAGGAGGGGGCAATTTGGAACAAATTTGGCAGACATAATGCATGGAGCGGAGTGTGTGTTAATAAGCCTTTTTGTTCGATTCCACTGTTTGGCTCTATCGATCTATTGATTTTTTGCAGTTTCTGCTTAGAAATTGCATGTTCGTTCAAAAAGGATAAAGAGTACTCTGCGTTGATACCACTGCTT